ACTTCAGATGCCAACCACGAGTACTGGGCCCACAGGTTACCCACACTTGTCCGACTTGGTTACAAGTTGGTGGTTCTTGCAACTGCCTCCTCAGGTTTGATAATTTGGGTAATGACTCACAGAACTCAGGGAAACACTTGACTTATACTTGTCAGTTTACTGTTAAGGGTAGTATAAAGAACACAGGTGAACAGCCAGAGGAAGAGGTGCCTGGGTCAAGGTCCAGAATGTTCCCTGGCATAGGAGCTTCTGTCCCCGTGGAGCTGGGGTGTACCACCCTGCTGGCACGTGATGCCTTCACCAACCAGAAGCTCATCAGTCTTGTTCCAGGGCTTTTATAGAGTTTAATCTTCAGTCCCCCCTCCCCTTCCCAGAGGTTGGTGGGCGGGGCTGAAAGTTCCCCCTCCCATCACTGGGTCTTTCTGGTGACCAACCCCACCTTGAGGCTGTCCTGGGGCCCCAGCGTGAGTCGCCTCATCTGCATAAACTCAGTTGTGATCAAAAGAGTCCCATTATGAATAACGAAAGACACTCCTATCACTCAGCAAATTTCAAAGGTTATAGGAGCTCTGTGCCAGGATCCATAAATAAATACCCAATATATTTCTAATTATACCACACTAACATATAAAACTCATTTTGAAACAGTTGGGAATTTTTGTTTTTCCAGATGGCTTCATATCTTAAAAGGGTGCAAGGTACAATCACTACTCAGAGATTTCTTCTCGGACTGAAACTTAAATGTGTCTTATTTCACTAAGGCAGTAATGGAAACTGACGTCAGAGCTACAATATTAGTTTTAGCTCAGCAAGTCGATGTTCTTCCAATCACAAAGTCTAAGTTAATGTGTGGCTGAATTATTCATAATAGCATATCTTGACTGGCTGCCATGGTAACGGGCCAGAGTGGCTTCACGCAGGGTGGTGTGTTCAGCCTCAGGACTCCAGGCCCAGTACAGGCCTCCCACATGCACAGACACGTCCACTCGGAGCCCAGGAGTGTGCAGAAGGCTACGTTGCTGCCCGGGGAGGGGAGCTGGGAGGCGTTTTGAGGTCGGTGGGAGACTTGAGCAGGGGCAGGGAAGTGGAGGTGTTTAGGGGTGGTGGGAGATGAGGGTGGAGGGGTGAGTGGTGCCAAGTTTGGAGAGGCCTTTGGACCACGTCTACAGGTTCTGCAGTCAGGGCATGGAGCGCCGTGCGAGGGCTGTGAGGATGGGGAAGGAGAGAGAGCATCAGTTTCCTGTCTTGTTGCCTGCTGAGTAGAAGGAATCAAAATGAAGAAGTCCAATGATGAAATTGTGGAGAAACAAAAAGATATGATGACTTGAAGTTGGTGTTTCGGAAGCTCCCACATGGCAGGAGCTGGAGGAAGAAGTGAGCACTTGCTGTTGGAGTGAGAAGAGGCCTGATGTTGGAGTCAGACTAACCTGGACTTTCACTGCAGTCCTTTGCCTGCCGGCTGCGTGACCTCGGCCAGCGCACCTCATCGTCTGCCTCTTGGGGTCTGCGTCTGTAAAGCATTTCGGTCATTACACGTGCCACCTGCTGGGCAAGGGCAAGGGCCTGGCCGGCGTCTGGCATGGTGTTTCCCATAGTGCTAGTTCCTTCTGTGTTTGGCTGACCCCGCAGTGCAGGGAGCCAGCTTGGCGAGACCAGTGCCCAGTGAGCAAAGTGATGACTGACCAGCATTTAGCTGGTAGGAGCGCCTCTTGTGAGAGCTTTCCGTTTTCAGTTGGCTTTCGTCCCCAGGGTGCCAGAGCTGGGAGCCCTGGTGACAGTGGCAGGGTCGACACCTGTGGAGAGCTTTACGAGTGACACAGTGCCCTCCCCAGGAGCACCCAACCCCACACCAACCACCCACCCACCCGTGGGAATTACTCCTGAGAAGAAATGTACTTGGAGGAAACTTTAGTTGACAAGATCAAGAATGATGAGAAAGTACAGGATTAAGGGTAGAAAGTCTTTAAAAAAACAGTTAAGTGCAAATGAAAAGCAACCATAATACAGTTTCTAAATGTCATTCGCTTCAGAAAAGGAAGCTTGGCTCATGGCTATTACAGTCTTGCCTCGGCAGGTGACTTTTCAGTGAGTTTTTAATACCTTTCGGTTGTGCAGAGTCCCCTGTGGTGGCGTTATAATCTGCTGGGCAGAGTCTCTGACTGGGACTGAAAGAAATTTGCTCACCAGCCCTCACTGGTATGAAATGTAGTGTCTCTGGCAACTTAATTGTTCTCTATAATTTTTGGAAATTTTCTGCAAAGTGTGTAATATATTTTTCTTGCCACACTACCCCGGAGACCAGCTCACATGGTCAAGAGAAGAGGGTTGTGATAATTTTGTCCTGGTCTTTTGTTAGAAACCAAATGATATAAACGTTTCAGCTGAGCTCTCTTTGCCCCAGGAGTGTGCTGGAGCCAGCTCATAAGAGCTCACAGAAGCCAATTCTGCCCTTCTTTCCCCAATTCCACACACAGCTTGAAATTGGCCATGGGGGAATATTTACACCATGGACATTGGCAAATGCTACAAATCTGGGCACATTACTGCCCCCCTAAGGTCCAGGCAAACCCTCCAAGGTGTGTCTTTGCACATTCTGCAAATCCTCATGGTTACAAGTATCTTTTACTGAATTATCTCAATTTTGAGATTCTCCATCTCTCCTGTTCATGTTGTCCCCGTCACATATCGCATCATGGAACCTAACTCTCTTTCTCAATTGTTAACAATTGCCACCCTCTTTTCTTCATGAATTTTTGGGAAGCTGCTTTTTGCCGAATTATCATCCACCTTTTGAAATCCTGCAGCATAGCTCTCTGTGCTGCTCCACCGTGTCCTCTGTGGACTGCACACCTGCCTGCTCCTACCCCAGGCTGGGTGCAAGGTCCTCGAGAACATGTAGTGTGCTTTGCACAGCTGCTCGTCTGCCTGTCTCACAACGGGCTCAGGACATTGTAGGTGCTGGATAAATGTTGGAGTGATGGAAGAAATACATAGAAATTCCTTTCGTAGGTAAATTTGGGGGTTTATTCACATAAACACATAGTGTTTGGATAATTAACATTTCATCAGCATATTGGGTATTCTTTATCTTTGTGTGGAAGTGGATCCAGTTTCTGTATAAGCCAGAAGCTTATACAAGTTTTGGAGACTCTTTTTAGAAAAAAAAATATATAAAGTTGGTATAAAAGTTAATTGTCATTTGTAATGAGAAGCCATAATAAAGTAAAAATTTTAAAGTACCACAAACATCAGCAGAATCCAAGGAACTAACCCCAAGTTTTTAAAATTAATATCTGACACACTTCTAGAATAGTTTTTCTCTGCCTTTGTTAGCTAATACTCTTTGACTGCCTCTCCATATGACAGCAATTTTGTAATATGTTCTATAGAAAGGATAGGTAACTTCTCCTTTTCTTTTTAATCAACAAATTGATCAAAATTTGCTTTTTATTATTCATAGTCTAGAAAAGTGTCATTCAGCTTAATGACTTGTTATTGATAATATGTACATTTTTAAGTTAGTTGTCAACTTTGAGAAACCTCTATTAAGTTTCTTTCACACGTGAGCTGTAGTATTTGAGGACATTTGGCGTTTTCTAGTGTAAGGATTAATCCTAAACGCCCTTTGATTGACACTAGTTTGCTGCGGTCCTCATCGTAGAGGTATGCTATGAATTTTATGATCTCTTTGCCAATTTCAGTATTTCCTACCAAGTCTATAGGAAATTATTAATAGCAGGAACCTATATGAAGGTGAACAGGCAGGGACACCGAAGTGAGGGACAGCTCACGCAGAGGCAGGGGCCAGCCACGATGTGGCATCTCGTGGCACGAGCTGCTGTGTGGGTGGGGCAGTCGTGGCTGGGCTGGAATGGCGTGTGGAGCCAGGCGGCTTGGCGGGAAAGAGGGAGATGCCGGCCGTGGCTGGGGCTTGACTGCCAAGGCCTGGAGTTGTTGCTGGATCAGTGAAGATGTGAGGTCAACGGAGTTCGGTGTTAGGATCACTGGCAAGGGACCAGACAACCTTGGTTTGAAGGCTCACTATGCCCCTGACCAACCGTGACGCCTGCTTGCCCGTACATGGAGGTGACTGTGTCCCATGAGCACCTCGCCCTGCCCGGACCGGTGACGCCACCCTCCCTTCACTGGCTCTCCAGAATGGCTCAGCCACTCCGTGTCAGCTGGGGCACAAGGAAGGGGGATGGAGGGAATCAGAGTGGCAAGAGATGGTGGCCTTAGCCAGTGCAATTAAATAGATCTCCTCCGCAGAATTTCCTGAGCACATTGTGAGAGCCCCTCCCTGGGCCTCAGAAGGGATCCGAATGTAGTGGGGGCCCTGAAGCTGTAGCTTCTTTGGCTTTACAGCAAATCCACCTCTGCCGTCCTTAACAGTTTGAAGACGCGGTAAAGGCATCCATCCCTCCTTCTCACCCAGACTTGCTCTTGTGTCCCTCTCAGGGGAGTGGGCGGATGACCAGAAGCACGGCCACGGCGTGTACTACTACGTCAACAACGACACCTACACTGGAGAGTGGTTTGCTCACCAAAGGTTCGCCTCCGTCTTCGTTCCGGCGTTTTTTTTTTTTGTTAGGATTGTTGTTTTTTGCGGTTGGTTCCGGTTTGCCGATTGCGGGTTGTTGCGGAAGGCCGTTTTCCCCGTTGCGGGGGGGGTTTGGATTTTTTGGTTGGGGTTAGGGGGGGCCCCCGGGGGGCGGCTTTCTTGGGCGGTTTTGGTCGTGTGACTGACGTCTCTCCTCAGATGGGGCAGAACATGTGGGGCCCTCACCCGAGAGCCCCCGGGAGCGGAGGGCACAGAAGACCCCGTGGGGGCCTGAGCCACGGCTGACCACAGGAAGCTGGCTCTGTGGCAGGCGAGGCCCTTCTCTGTGCGTTTGTTAATGTCATGTCTGGTGCTTGGGGCGTGCCGAGCAGAGGCATGTTTTGACTGGACACCGGTAAAGAAGCCAAGTCACTGTGAGCCTGCCTCGGTCTAGGCCACCTGCAGTTTCAGTGTCTTGGTTGTAAACCCGGGAGGTTTTTCACTGTCTGGGAACAAAATGCAATGTGCCCCTGTCTTAACCAGGCATGGGCAAGGCACCTATTTCTACGCAGAGACGGGCAGCAAGTACGTCGGTACCTGGGTGAACGGACAGCAGGAGGGTGCGGCTGAGCTCATTCACCTGAACCACAGGTACCAGGGCAAGTTCTTCAACAAAAACGTAAGTCAATGGGAAGCGACATTTGTCAATGAAATGCACAGTAATCCACCCCCCACCAACCTGTGCAACTGTGTGAATAGAAAATGCTAAAAACTCAGGGAAAGCCTTCCATCCTATCCAAATATGGGGAGCTGGACAGCTGAGCCTCTCTCTGAGCTGCTCTGGTACTCACAGAGGACAGATTGGGGGTGGGGGAGCAGCTTGGCTCATTCCTCTGTATCTCAGTAGAAATTCCCACCTTTCAGCAGTGGCCTGCTGCGGCATTTATAGCACAAGGAAGGCACTTCCCCTCTTGCATGTGTCCCTTCTTCTTGATGAACCAGAAGTCAGGCGTTCATTTCCTGCAGTTCAGCACTTCGTGCTTGGGCTTCGTTTCCCCCGGGAGGGCTGGTGCTAGAGCTCCCGCCTGGAGCAGCTGCCCCGGGCACCACCATGGGCCTGGTTTCCCTGTGGAGGACCCTGTGGCTTCTCCCACCCTTCGGCAGAGCCCCCGCGGTGTGCAGAGAAACCAGGGTAGTTCAGAAGTGACCACTCAGGCGGCTGAGGTAGCTTCGATCAGGTCTGGAGCAGAAACTTGCCCTGAAAAGAGAGTTTGTTGAGCAGATTGATGGTGTGAGGAGTTGACACAGGGAACAATTCACTGATTTAATGACATTTCCTCAGACTCTCTCGAAACCCAGTTTTCGATACATGTAATTCAGCACATTCTCCTCAAATCCGTACATTGTTTATGTAACTCCCAGCAAGATTCCCCTGGTTTTTGTCCAGATGGAAAGGTAGGTGGCGAGGAAGAGAACTTGACAAAAACTAACCTGGAAGAATCAATAAACTCGAACAGCCCCTAGGCCAATCTGAAAAATAAGGGTGAAAATGGAGGCTTTGTTCTGCCAGGCAGTGAACAACTTGAAAGTCACACAAACAGCGCACGAGCACGTTGCGACTGTGAAGCATTCAGACACTAGAATTCTCCCCTCTGCACTATTTCCGTGTGTCATGTGTGCACACGCTTGCACATACAGCTTATACAGAATTATAGTTTGGGGGTTTTAATTACACAAGTAGGATCACACTATATCAGGACACAAAATATACCCAAAGATACGTCTTTTATCATTTTGAAAATTTGAGAGTGATTTTGTAGGTTAGACCATGAAATCGCTGGGCTCGCTGCACCCATGAGGACTGACATTTTAAATCGTGATTGGTCTGCCAGTT